GAAACTTTATTGGAGAGTGTTTGGTGGCACGTCGAACTGCTAAACCTGCTTTGTCTTGAGGAAGGAGGTCATTTCATCAGCAGGGATTTTGAATCCGACCTCTGAAAGCCCAGAAAAGTTGCGGAGATAAAGCTGGTTGATTAAGACCACTGTGAATTCCACCAGAAGGTGTTACAAATCCGATTGAGGAGTCGTTGGAAAGTCCATGAGAACGTTTCCAATTTGTCTCAGAAATAATGACCAAGAATGTGATGCAATATTAACCATATTTCTTGGAGGATGTATGTTCAAATGCTTTCTGCGTGTTCCCTTCAGTGTCCCTAAGCAAGACTGTTTGCCACAATTTTCTCTTGATTACCAAACACGAACATGGCAGCCTTTGAGTAATACAATGACAGTCCCGGGTGTGTTCACATGACCTAATAGTGTTTTTGAAATCCTCTTCATAAGAATAAAGGTGATTTTCTCCTTTCAAAATGTAGGATCCCCCTTCGGCAGAAAAATTCAGTGAGAGGTTGAAGCGCCCAATCCTGAATCGAAGACAAAAATGATATGGATTTTGTTCACAACTCTTCATCAGGATAGTAGTTCTGTCAGTTGAAAGCAAGTCTCAAATGAACAGTGACATTGTTTTATCTTCGCCACAGCCCATTGGTACTTTAGACCTTTGTCCCGCGGTAGCATTGCTGATGCGACTCTGAACTCGGATGGATTAGCCTTTTTCATCATTTTCAAACTTTAAACAGTGCTTTTCCTTGTCAGGACATTTACGTACTTGGGATTCTTAAGGTACACGGTGTTGTGTATAGATTTTATACATTGTAAATTATAAGATTCACCAGAATAAATTTCACTGGATTCGACACCAAAGTGGTTTGCTTTATAGGTTTACTGCAAAGTTTTGTAATCCTAATACAAAAGCTCAGTACAGATACTATAATATATTAAAATTCTAATAACATAGTACACATCAAATTGAAGATGAAAAGTTTCAACCTTGAATTGCCAGGTTCTGAAGAAGCAAAGCTGAACGGTCTTTGAAGTCATTGTGTAGAATGTCAGGAATTCGATAGATATTGCGTTAAGATTCACGGGATGTGAAGTGTACTTGTGAAGAGGGAACTTGTCATATAATACGGGCGATTCACAAGATCGCGCCACCAAGAGTTTGCAACACGTTGGCCAATCATAACGCGCGAAATTTGTCGACCCTTTCTAAACGCGCATTTGGTCGACAAATTTTGCGCACTGTGATTGGCCAACGCATTGCAAACTCTTGGTGGCGCTCTATTGTGAAACGGCCGTATTGATAGAAAAATGAAACTGAGTTGCGGCTGTTACGACAGTGTCTTCACTTAAACCGAATCTGCATGGACAGGGGTGTTTCAGTTACCACCTGCTTTTGTCCGAGAAAGATTTCTTGCATTTTTAGGAAACTTACTATTTAAAAAGCCACTTCAGTACCCGTAACTTATACAGTCTATCATGTTCGTTACACTATTTTAAGGAAGATTTTCTTCATAGATGCAGTCAGTAATAAACTACTGATCTTCATAGGAATTCAGTTGTAAAGCAAGTCGGTATACCCCGGGTAGCTAGTCACTCGTACACGATGTCTGTCGTTAAGCTTTTGTCTTTCGTTTCCTCAAAGTTGTTTTCAGCATCTGAGCTCGGCGATCTTCGGCCTTGGGCTTATCTGCAGAGGACGAGAAAGGCAGAATAGATGTAGGGAATGAGTTTGTCATTACGAGCTCAACGCTTGACGTGTTGTGCTCGTTTGGATAGCAAATTTCCATCCTTTGTGAAGCTAGCCCACATGGAAGTCTCTCCCACGGGAAGGCCCTTGTCACAACAGCGAATTGCAGGTGATGCACTCTGGGCCAATGGAGAATTAGGCCAAGGTAGAATAACTTGGCTGCGACTTGCAATTACACATGAATTTATGGCAATAGCTTCAGCCATTTCCCGTTGAGATGTATGTAATTTTCAAGCCGCAGCCAGTAATTTGTATATAGCCCTAGACTCTGACGGGAAGTTTTGTATACCTAAAGCTTTATCATTAGTGCAAAGTGTGTTGCAATCTTACCTTGTTTCTCCTCCGGTGTGGCGAACCAGGAGTCGGGCACCCAGCTTGGCATAGGCCCCCACGATTCTTGCCACTCCAGCTCAGAGAAGTCACTGCCCAACGACCAGGAATCCTTCCACTCTGACCAGGAGCCGGACCCCTCAGGTTCCTGTGGCTTGGCCTCCTTGGTAGGTTTGGGGCGGTGCTCAGGTTTCATTTGGCGTTTATGGTTTTTGGCTTCTGTTCACCGTAGTTAAAACCCGTTATAGAACTACCACCGTAAGGCAGCCTTGTTTATAAGCTAGGATTTTTGTAGTAGATAAATGTCAACTACCCACACAGTACACGTCCTAGTTGATCAATATAACAGTCTTACGCTGCAATGTATTGATCGATATTACTCTATACTACTCGAAATTTATTATTTTGTCGTTTTTTAACGACCGCTTTCTTAGTGACAGCTGCATGGTCTGGGGGCAAACTTGTTAAATGTGTTGCCAGGACGTTTTAAAGAATTGCCCATCAAGCACAAAGTTTTGCCCATTCTGTCAAATATTGTAATTGTCAATCTGCACGTTACGGTGGCTTACCTCAACCAAGAACGTTCTTATAACGGCATATAACTCCATAATTGAGCATGTTACACTGTAAATTATACGGCGTTATAACTTCATAATATGAGGGTGTTACAAAATAGGGCGTCATAACGCAGTCATAACGAGGCGTTGTAACACTGTACATCTAGGGTGTTATAATGCCGTAATGAAAAAAAAATGTTCTTAGTGGAGATCAGTCACCCGTGGCTTGGGCAACACGTCAACATTTAGAGTGTTCATGACAAAATGTCGGTACTTTCCGTGGTTTTCGCATTGGACTGTTTTCAGCAAAACTCAACGAATTGATTTGTATTTCTGACACTCGCTAACTTAGTGCAAAAATCCGATTAAAAAGGTAAACACAGAGTGCCATACTATGGATCCCAGAGCTTCGCTTGCACGGAGAAAGACGTTGATATTTGCAGTTGAAGGTCTTCAGTCATAAGCGTTGAAAGACCGTCATCAAGGAGGTGCACGGGAGAGTTCTTACTCTTTATATAACCAAAGAAATATCCTGACTTGGATTCATACTCAACGGAACTGAGAATGTCTATAGCTATGCGATGTTTTTGTGACGTGGTGGCAAAAGGTGAATACATTAGGCTGATTTTAGATCCACTTGCAGTGAACTTCACGGCAGCATAATTGGGTGACGTCGAACTTGCGTCACACCGACATCGATATTTGAGTGAAGTCTGAACTGGCCTTAAACG